GTTTTAACACTAATGAGTAAAGTGACCCTTCTTCTACCCTTTAAACTTATGACAGTAGATGTTTAGATTACAGGAAATACCCTAAATATCCCTAATTAAACAAAATTTCACATTAGTCTCTTTTCAATAAGATATATATGAATTGTAATAGAGTACACATGTATAACTTTATGATCTATGTCACCTTGATTCTAGTTCAAAAATAGAATTTCAAAATGTCCTTCAAAATGTAAATTTTAGATTTTATTCATAGTTTTTTTATGAATAATTTTCTCTATAAATGTGCTTTATTTGTTTCAGCTGGTATTGTTTTGAAAATACTTTTCTATATTTATTTGAACGCATCAAAAGTCATCTTCAATTGGAGGAACCATATAAAATAATAAAGGTTTGAAGTGTGGTAATACGAAAGCCTTTTCTGAATGTATTTTGCACAATTCGAAATTTTGAATTCCACAAGTCAAAATTTTGGATTCCACAACTCGAAATAACAGATTTTAAGCACTGTCTTGCTGAAATTTACTAGTGGTTATTCTAAATTTGAGGCAGGTGTTTGTGATGAATACTCGTAAGAAAGAATATAGTACGGGATCTTTTCCATCAAGATTAGGGTTACAAAGAAATTAGATTTGTTGCCTCAGAAAGAGTTTTAACCAATTGAACAAATTTTGACAAGTTAAATCAAGCCATGAGCAATAACTCAAAAACTGTTCACAAAAAAATGAATGTATTTTCAAAATGTCAATGGTATTCAGAAAAAAAATAATTTAAAAAATATATTTGTCTTAAACGTTTTGAAGAACTCGAAATTTCAATCGGATATTTTGAGATGTGGAATCCGAAATTTTGAGTTGTGCAAAATACATTCAGAAAAATAAAAAATTTTTTTTTAGATGGGCCTAAAAGGCTTTTGTATGGTAATGTTTGTTTCATTTCAGTTTTAATTATAATATTCAGGTACCAAATCTATGTCTAAGAATACAGCAATTTGGTTTGAAAAAGTGAAGTATATATCACTCACAGAATATATACAAAATGAAATATCCCACAGATACATTCATTATAAATGTCACCTAATCAACAACAAATAGGACTCAGTGATAAAATAACAAAAACAAACAAAAAAGTAATGATGATATTGTTGTAAAAAAGAAAGCAAAACCATGTTTAGTAATTACTAGTTAAAAACCATGTTCAGTATTTACTAGTAAGTGACTATGTTAGTGAGCATAAGATGGCAAGTAACTATTATAATCATATGACAGGATCAGTGACACTTGATGTCAACTGACGTTACTCTAACCTTGCACCTGTAAGACAAGTGGACAAGGAAATGGGTGACTACAAAAAAGATTCATCAAAAAATCACATCTACACGTAGTTTAAAGGTCATTTTAAAGATTGACCACTCCTGAAGACTTTGAAGTTGACATCAGAAATATACTTAAACCTTTTTTTATTGGATTGTTTTGAAGAGTTATAGTGATATAAGCTCACTTTTACATCTCATTCTAATAATTTCAATCTACTGGTATCTTATTCCTTTATACAACATTAGGTTGGTCTTCAATGGAAGATATTGAAAAATGTTTTATAAATTATGTTTGACTTATATAGTATGTTTATTTGATTTACATTCTTGAGTTGTTTTTGGAAACCCTTAACAAGCTACATTTATTTGTGAAGAACAGATTTTGTTGATACCAAAATATTTCCGAATTAATAATTTACCTTTCCATAAATCTTTCAAATATCAGAATACAAGACTCTTGACACTAATTTTTATCACCTGAAAAATATGGTGCTGCATCAGAAATGAAATGAAAAGGGATTTAGGTCCTACAGTTCCGCTCCAATTTCAGCTAATAAAGATCGGCAATTACATGCAAGTAATTTTCGCAAGGACAGCAGCATAAGCCCACACTTCAATTCTAATTCTAAGAAAGGATCCTTCCCCCCCACCCCAAAAATACTAAAGCAAATTGTAATCCTTTGAATACAAGCACCAGTTGATGATCTATATAGTAAGAATTAGGCAGAATACTTTTAAAGCAAACTGAAAGCAAAAAATCGAACAAACAAAAATTTCAAAAAATACACCATCCTTGCATAGATTGATCAAGCACAATTAAGCACAAATACTCAGTTCCAAAATGTCCTAAAATCATTCCTTAATTTCCAAATATCTCCAAGCAGACATAAAGTTGAATACTACTTTATTTCTCAACAGAAATTCATAATATGATCACAGTTATCACCAATTCAAAATGTTGAGATAAAAAGAACAAATTGTGTGAAACAAATTTTGATAAAAAAAAAACCCAGAATCTAAATATCCGTTTATTTCTTTTAATTTAGGATCTCCAGGATTAGTGTGTTTGTGATAGCGCCAAATCAGATTAAGTCCAGTTGCCCCTCTATCAATATTTGTTCATACCTTCCTATCAAGTTTTCTGTCCATTTAGGAATATATTGCATCTTTTCTGGCAATAACACAAATAATATTTTTTTTAAAACATCTTTGTTAAAAGATACAGATTTCATAAATTTATTTCGAATGATCTTCTGTTGTTCAGTTTATCTTAGAATACCTTATTATAACTACATTGATTGATAAGATATTCTAAAAGTATGATGTATTCAAGTTGAAATAAGAAAAAGACACTAAAAAAAATTTTTTTGGCTCAGTATATAATGCCATTTAAAATAATGTGTAACCAGTCATATACAATCATATCAGAAAATCTGGTTGGAATTTTAAGCAACTGCTCAATTATTGGGTGCTAAATTTTGCTGGAAACTCAAGGGACAGTACTTTTCAGGTTGTTTTAAAATTTCAAATCTGAACAACTATGCAGCACTATCTCTCAAAAGTTCAATCCAGTACAACTAGGCAGCACTATCTCCCAAAAGTTCAAACTTGTACAACTATGGACTCCATAGTATGGAGCACTATCAAGTTCAAACGTTGTCAACAATGGAGCACTATCTCCCGAAGGTAAAACAACTCACAGGTTTCATGTCCAGTTTATTTATTTGAATAAGAAAATACAAAGTCCTTCTACCTACTTCAAAGCTTTATATATTCACACTATACTGAGCCTAATAATACTTTTATCACCTTGTCAAAGATAATGGTCAGATATACTGCCAAGTTTATAACCCAAGGGTGATCATTTAGAATTTATGGGAAGATAGTCACGAACAGACGGATAGTCTGGTAAAAGGTTGTCATCAGTTAGTATGAACCCGGTATTATTATCACGAAAAGAAAAATGTATATCATTACCTTCATATCAGTAAATATCTGCAATTCCATATTCAGGCGCACCGAGAAAGTTCCTGAAAGAATGGCGCGAAAACCATGACCTTGAACACATTTCAAGGTAAAACAGTTGCCCTACAATATATATACTTTAAATAGTGCGATTCTGAGTTTATAGCTAGTTCAAAATTTTCCCCACATTAATACAGTTCTTTAGCTAGCCAGATAACTGTTGAAAAACTTCAAATCCATCTACTATTTAATGAAACTAAGATTGAACGTAAAGAATGAATTAATGTCACCACGAAAATTTTAGCTATTTTGTCTCCATTTTTAATTTCAAAGCCACTAATTCTTAAGTTGACCTTGATTTGTTTCCCCGAAAAAAACATTCGGGGCTTTTTTCAATATCCAATGAACAAATTAAATGGTATTTTGCAAATATATGGATAATGGTGTGCCAACTGTACGTATGCAATCGTCTATGTGTCAAGGGAGATAACTAGAGGTAAAATTATACTAAGACAAGCAAAGTTCAGATTATGGGATTTCAGTGCTACAAGAAAGAGGAGAAGTTAATGAGACAGTGAAATAGCAATGTGTGATCGTGTTGGAGATAAGGTGAATCTTTAGCAGTTACAACGCCACCTCCCCCAGAATATCCAGGTTGAGTTTTAAACTTTGGCAACTCTCAGGGGCATCTAGGAGGGTTTGAGGAAATGATGTGGGGTTAGAAAGCCTAAAGGGTCAAACCGCCCTGTCCCACTGGCCTTTGCCCGATATTTCAGCTGAATGTTTATTTTATTGAATTTCCGACTTCATATGACTCAAGTGCCAGGCTTTTTATAAGGTCTCAATTATCCATATCTATGTCTAGATCCAATCACTGAAGTCCGAACTAAGTAAACAAGGTCCAAGCCCACTGATCTAATATATCTGCCACAGAACAATGCGGTGTAACAGAAAGGGGAACCTTAAACGCTGTATATACTATAACACTTTATACTATCTAAACAATGTTGATTTGTTTATTATTTACAAATGTTATGATACTACATATACAATATGACTATTAAATACATAAACAAAAAAATAAATTAACAATTTCACTGAATTGGTTATAGAAATTCATCTAAATATTTGCTTTACAGCTGATAGAGCTCAACTTCAGCTTTTTTTTTTTAAACTGAGACATACATAAAGACCGTTTAAGACTCACACATACAGTAATCAGTAAATTCCAGAGCATGCTTTAGCACAATTGTGGGGCCCTCAGAATTTAATTTAAAAGAGACAAGGGTAGCTAAGTTTGCACATTATCAGCTGATTAAACAAGTATTCAATCTGTATCTCTTTCAGCTTGATTGGAATAATGCCCATATAATATAATAATTCATCACAATTCACTTTTGATAGTATTATTTCCTGAAAAGGACACCATACATATATGGTTCAATGTTTAATTACAATTATCAAAGCTCTGACACATTACTAGATAGGACACCAGTTAATTTAAGTTACTATTGAAAGCCTTATTGACATTGTTTTTGAAAGTAGATTTTTTAATCAGTCGGGGATTCAGACATCTCAGTCGACTTTGCCAATTTGTATTGGTGAGATATATTAAGTATTTATGATTTTACACCAGTGTAGTTAGTATAAAAAGTTCTGGTTATGGTTATGAATGAATAGCATGTCCAATCACAGTTATAAAGTTCTTAGTATGTTTCAACTATCAGGAATCAGTTGGTAAAGTTTCTTTTAAATACCAGAATCCTCCTCTTGATATACAATATTCCTGAAAAAGATAAACATATAATTTTATAGCTATAGTATTCTTACTATACATATGTAGAATATGACAACAGTTATTTATGGCCAACCATATTCCCAGTTTAGTAGGAGCATAATTACAAATGACAGATTTTCTTTAATGATCAGAATGCAAAATAGAGAGAATTTCCATCTGTCAATGGATATTTTTATCATACATAGCCTGTAGTGCATAGAGCTTTGGTTAATTGACCTAATACAAACAACTGAGTGATTTTTTCCATGTCAGTCTCTTCAACCTGCAATGCTGAAAGAGCAACCTAGCAACCAAGGCCCTGATATGGTCAAGGTGCCCTGCAAATAACATCCTATAATATCAAGGACAAAATCATAGATTAGAATCAATGCCAAGAACATACCTTAAGTAATTTTTTACAAGTAACTTCTGAAACTTCATCTTGTAATTCTTCTTGAAAATGATTTCTAACAGCACCAATTTTAACTCTGAATGAATTTTCAAATAGCTCCAATAATAACATTCTCATCTGTAAAGGAAATTTCAAGAAAAAAGGCAAATTATTTGATGCGTACTGATCCAAATAAGGTTCATGTATGTATGGGTATCAAAAACACATTCAACTTCTATTAGAAGCACCACACTGATTTCCCGTTTTATTATTCCATTTTCCTGGAATTTGATACAAAAGCTAATATGCACTATGTAGCCTCAAAATTGTATAATATTACTCATAGAGCTTTTTCATAATTTTACAGATAAACTATATGATATCATCATAAGGCATACATAATAATAGGGTGTATAATATAAACTGTTTTACAATTAATCAGCTAGTACAGCCAACAGTCAATGACAATATCATTTGGTCTGTTAAGGTTCATAAGTAAAAGTAATCATCATTTAGATGTCTAGATCATATCTAATTACAGAGAACATATTTTATTTTTGTGTATGGTTATTTTAGGTTAATGTATCTACAGACCTTATCAAACATATCACCAGCAGTTATTTGTGCAAATAAAACATCAGCTTTAGTTTTAGGTGGCCACTGAAACAAAACACAAATATATGAAAGAGCACTGGATATGATTTTGTGCGCAAGATACGTTTAAATGGTGAAGTTTCTGAAAAGATAATACAATGTATTACTGTGGGTTCCAATAAAACAGTATGTAGTAAAAACCAGGCGGTTGATTTGACTTATTTTCAAGTCTGATATGGTAAAACAATATGGCATATTGAGAAATGGCTTATCTTTAACATTCCTCTGCTGTATTTTGACATGTTTTCAGTTCTGATATTGACCATATAATCTATTTACCTGATTATTTAACTGTTTACCACCAGATGTCACTATATTATCTATTAATAACTGATCATTGATATTACTTGACAAAAACACATGACCAGACGGACATTGTAATATCTTATTCTCAAAACAACCTTTTAATTCACTCAAACTAAAGATTTTCTTTTTATTTAATAAGTCACGTAAAAATGATATGATTTCTAAAGTTAATTTCTTATCATCTATGAGTCCATTATCACAGTTTGTTTTGACCTTTTTCATTGGTCCATTTGAAGTCACATGTTTAATTTCCGAGGTATCCATTGGTTCCTGAACACTATCTATATTATGATCACTTTCTGAATTCTGTCTAGAATGATGTGTATCAGTTTCCATATCACTAACATCAGAGGTAGACATGGCACTAGGTGTTCTGGTACGTGGAGAAGATTTTCTTCTTTTAGATTTATCAGGTGAATTACAAACTGGGCTGTGTCCATCTGTAGCTACAAAATATTAATCAAAATTCAAAATTTTTAGAATTTACAAATCAAGAGATAGGCATTGCTGTAATGTGTTGCAAGGAGAGGCTGAAGTAGGATGAATATGATATGATGTATGGATTCAACTGTAAGAATTTGTGCACCATATGATACCAATATTGATGACCTCATTGTCAATTTCTTCTATGGATCTGAAGTATTGGTCATGCTCACTATCACACTTTTAAATTCTTCTGCTGTATGAATGTGGGTACAAATGGCACTTATAAACCAAAAATCTACAATATTTGTCATGGAAGGTTTCAAATGAACACTCTGGTAAGTATGCTTACCAAGAAAGATGTGTGCAGATATAGATATCTACTGATATAATAGTCTCTATGTTATTGTATAATCCACACTCTACTACTAGTCATGTTATTTACTACAGTCAAGCATGAGGAACGTATTAACATTAGACACATGCAATTCAAATAAAAAACCACTACAAATACCTTTAGATTTTTTCTCTAGTTCTTTTGGTATTTTAAAGGCCTTAGACAAAGTTTGATATCGAGCATCCCATAACATTTTCTGTCTTTGTAAAATATCATTATATCTAGAAAGGAGAGTACCGCTGTAGAGAGTCATTATTTCATACATCTACTTCTAGTTGTATGTTTAGACAGGGAGATGCGCCTTTTCTTTTTTCACAGGAACCCATAAAAATGTATTTATTTGTATGTTGAAAATAAATATTATAATTGTTGCTTTAGAAAGTTTTTGATCACAAGATACGATACAAAACAATGAAAAAAGTCAATTTTTGAAGTAATTTTAGAAATCAATTCAATATATAACTTACTTATCACAAAATTCATAGTCATATTCATAAAGAAATTCCCATCCTTTTATAGCTTTTACTGTAGACATCTGTTCTAATTGTTCTTTTACATCTTCAGCTGGTAACTATAAATACACAATATTATCATCAATTTTGACATAATATTCTCTATGATGTATTAAAACACTCTGCTATGGTAAATCAGGTCCACTATTAGTTTATTACTCATTATAATTACCAAGAAATGTGTAATTTGCATACATATGAAGGCAGGATTTACTCCTATATATAGCTACTTTAAGTCAGATAGTGGTAAATAAATATTTGAAAATAGAACAATATTCAAACCTTACTTTAATAACAGATGATATATCTTTTCTTATAACATATCTTGAATGAGTAAATTTCCACATCTATAATTAAACAAATAGAAAAATAAACAAAAACGATAAAAAGACACATCCATCAATATTTGCAATACCAGCTGTCCCTCCAAAGGATTCTGATTTAAAGAGTATGGCACAGGATAAGTTAAATTAATTTATAGAATGTTCTTACTATATAATCTCTTCCACGGCACAAATATTCTGATGATATACCACTGACAGGACTACAGGCTTCTTTAGGATACAATATTTCACTGAAATATAAAATATTCTGATGATATACCACTGACAGGACTACAGGCTTCTTTAGGATACAATATTTCACTGAAATATAAAATATTCTGATGATATACCACTGACAGGACTACAGGCTTCTTTAGGATACAATATTTCACTGAAATATAAAATATTCTGATGATATACCACTGACAGGACTACAGACTTCTTTAGGATACAATATTTCACTGAAATATAAAATATTCTGATGATATACCACTGACAGGACTACATTTTTCACTGAAATATAAAATATTCTGATGATATACCACTGACAGGACTACAGGCTTCTTTAGGATATATTATTTCACTCTGCTTCTAAAGGTCGAAAATAGCTCTAATTCGAATTTGATCTTCGTTTTATGAACATGTCTACACATACCGAATTTCATTTGATTCCATCAAAAAATCTAGTTTTTAGAGCAAATGTTGACAGACGGACGGACCAACGGACCTTCGTTTCATGAATATGTATGCACATACCGAATTTCATTTGATTCCTTCAAACACTCTAGTTTTTAGAGTGTTTACGAGCAATTTATGTTGATAGAGGCACTTACTGTATAGAGGTTAAAGGGCGATAACTCCTCAAAACTGATGTAAGAGGCCTAAATCTTGAAAAAGCCTTAAATTTAATCAGAAGTAAACTAAACTTTCTCAAACCTTTCGATTTAGGTCCAATGACATCCATTTTAAGTTTCATCAAAATTGATTGAAAACTAAGAGAGTAATAGCATATTCAAGATTTTGGGGCAAGGGCAATAACTCTGCTTCTAACGGTCGAAAATAGCTCAAATTCAAACTCATCTTCGTTTTATGAATATGTATACACATACCGAATTTCATTTGATTCCATCAGCGTTTACAAGCAAATGTTGACATACGGACGTACGGACAGGGGTACCGACAATATACGTCCACATAGAGAGAGGTGGGCGTATAAAAATATTGAAGTTTCTTACCTTTTTACAACCCAGCAACCTTGAACTAATAAAGCAAAAACTTGTAATGGTCGTAACACACTAGTAGGATCAGTACCAGGATCTAATAATGATAGTAACTGACTAAATCTCATTACTTTTACTGAAATACCGAAAACAACTATTACTAGATCATAATATAAACTACAAAGGATCTTTAATATGATTAACCATGATATTAACCTAATGCAATGATGAAATAGAAATAAGTTTGATGTCCAATATATCTGCTTCTGCTGAGGTTTTGCATGGATTTAAGTAGCCGAATTTAGACAAGATAGCACGAATATCTGTTTATAAGAGCAGGGTATTAACTTGACCTAAACTGTGATTGAACCATCGAAACCTAGGTTAGCAAGCAAGCTTTTAATTCACTGAGCTAGTGTTTTTCTTAGGACATTTTGGAATCTGTCTGAAAAGGTTTGGATACAATATGTACACATTTATGTTATAAGAATTGAAGAGGCAAAAAAATATACAGCCACAGCCATGGATATCAAAATCTTTATGAGAACAATAGCTTACCATTTATTAGTAGTGATTTGATTTGATCTGCTAGAGGTAATGTACGTAACTGACTTAAAGATAACACATTAGTGGGCATCTCAGGTCTTTCCCTGAAACAAAGTATTGAATACGTGTACATATTCCCCTTTTATAATAATTAATACCCAAAACAATGTTCTCAAACAATAGCTTGCTATTGACCATCTTGATTTAGCAAGATTTTCTGGTCACAAAAGAATAACCTGCCTGCATCAGTGTTTAATATAAACCATAGGACAGAGTATCCAGTACATTTCTAGGAAACTATTAGTTGAGGGGGCCGAGCAGGGGCCAAAGAATTTTCAGGGGGAACTAGGGTTGTTGATTTGGCTCTATATGCCGGACATGACCGACGGGGCTGCTCAAATATCCCCCGGGGAACCATAGGCTATGCTTTCACTGTGTACAGTATCTCGCTTTTCTCCTGTATGATTAAAACTTAATTAATCACTTACTTTTCTTCTGATTTCTCTGGAGGTATTAAAGAATTCAGATAATCTTTAGAATGAAGGTGAAATTCTGATATATCATCATTTTTGGAAGCTATTAAAGATAATCTGTTTGCAGCTGACTGGTCATCCTGGAACGAACATGCAAAGGATGATACAAAATTACCACTTGATGCAAACTGTAGACCCTGCATAGGATGTTGCTAATAGTTAATCTTCCTGTGTTACTTGTCAAGACAGCTATTAAAACTAAGTCAAACACTTTTTAGCAATATTTTGTTTCAAGAGCAAAACCCAGTAACAAATGTGAGTTTCCTTTTGTTGATGGCAAATTAAGATGATATCTGTTGAATATAATAGGTATGATTTAACGTATTTTATTGGTTTACAGATTTTCAAGAAACTTCCTTGATGTTTTAGTCCCATTAAGAATTTTCCTTCCTAAACCTGTGATTACATATCAAGTTTTATGAAAATCAGTTAAAAGTTAATGAACATTTTCATGTTGATTGCCTACAAGACATTGTAGGTGCCCTGTAAAGGAATTAATAATGGGTACCAGCTGAATTTTCACTTTATCATAGGGAAAGGATGGTGCCTATTATTATTATCATCATGAACTGTACTGTCTATACAGAGAACCTAATTTAATTAAATATAATCAAAAATCGACAACCCTCTAATACTTACTCAAAAAAGCTACTTTTAGCTCTTTGTGGGCATGCTTTAAATTTTACATTGCTATGGTCAATATTCATTCATTCATTTGCGAGATTATATTCCAAAACAGGAGAAAATTTGTGGCAGGTTTTGAAATGAGCAGTCACCATTTTAGCTGTACAACAAAAGATCTTTCTCTCATCATTTTATCTTGATAAAAGATTGGGGCATAATTCAGACATTCAATTCTAGTTAATTTTTATACTAAGACTCATTGAAAGGCAGTTCATTACAGTATTAACAAGCCTGTGTATGTATATAGCCTTATATCAGAAAGTTTCATCAAAATTTAATCTTAAGAGAGTTTTCCTTGGGTGATAATCAATATTTCTACCATGTTTCAAGAATATCTATCAAGAAATGTACCTTCAAAGAGATAAGACAGCTTTGTTTCTATTATTTGCTGACATATAAGATTAAAGAATATGAAACACAACTCAATGAATTTAAATATGATTTTCCAAGCTTTGATAAACTTCCAAGTGAAAATATAATGTTTTTGAGCATGTGATTGACAGACAATTGGAAGCAAATATATGTGTGGTTATTTCAAAGCAAGTCGGATGAAAAAACATGAGTTTTTTGATTTTAACAGCAATGTTTGCAATGACAAAATCAAATGGATGCAAAGCAATTGTTTGCCTTCTCCATTATAAGTATTGTGTGAAATGTGGATTCGAGGTCAAAGTGCATATCCAAGGTCATCACTCGTTAAAACATGTCTATGTCAAAACAAAATGACAGATTTGGAATCCCTGTCCAATTCCCTTTCTAAAAATACTTATTCAGCAATTTTGACCTATCGGTTACTGAACTATGGTCATTTGAATAATGGTGGTCACGCCCATTTTGGTCGAAATACCTCAAATTGGGAGGGCAATATCTCAGGAACAGTTAGTCTGATCGAGCTGAAATTTGGAATATCAGCTTTTTCTGCCCACATTAGCATATAAACCAAATTTCAGCAAAATCAAAGGGGGTACGGTTTACTTTTTACTTTTTTTTGGGTGATTTGACATGGAATGACCCATCAAAAACCTGGAATCAATCACAAAATGTACACTCATTGATAACTAGATCACTGACAAGGCAAAGGTATTTGTTTATCAAGAAAAGGGAAATAACTCACATCTTTATGATGGTATAAAACAGGTATCCAGCGTTCTGTTTCTAATTGTGATAGTTGATATTTATACGAGGCTAACCGTCTAGCTTTAGTTATATCATTTTCAGGTCGGGCAAACTTTACTGTCACAGGTTTTACTTCTTCTTCTGTTTCATCTTGAGATGATTCTGTTAATAACAAATTCATGCAAAATTATCATTTATCTCAATATTTCTAAGGAATACTTTTAAGTGATACTCTGATTAGAATTTAAGAATTTTAAACTTGGCGAATAAGAACCAGTAGATATACTTGGCGTCATAAATAACATAACAGGATCCTTATATAAACCAATAAACTTAGTAATTATCCATAAATATGCAATTAACTATTGAAAAACGCTTCATATCAAGATTAAGCATTTTTCAATAATTACTTAATTTATGAATTTTCCAATTTTCCAGAATTTACAGGGATTCTGTTGTAACTTTATGACACCAGGTAAGCTAACTGATGAATATATACTCATATTGACCATTCTTGAGAATTAAATTCATGTTCATTCTAAGATGTAGTATCACTTTAATATGATTGGTAAATATTACTTTATCAAAATTGATCTCATAAAAGTATGATAGTAATATTCTACTCTATTCTCTAATAGGACAATACTAACCACCATCAGTTTGTAAGGAAGATAATCTATTTTTAGCCTTAACATCAGCTCTATCTAAATAATCAAATACTGGTTTCATTTGATTGATAGAAGATAGTGGTGTTATGTGGACCTCATCTACAAAATAACAAATAATCAACTTGTAACTTTTGATTGATGTTATATTCACCAACAAATAACAATGATAGTTTCAAAATAACAAGATATCAAATAAATCAAATACTGGTTTCATTTGATTGATGACAGTGGAGTTATTGTGGAATTCACCTATAAAGTTACAAAATAACCAACCATAATCAAACTTTTGATTGATGCCATATCATATTCACCAACAAAATATCAAGATGTATAACAAACAAAAAAAACACAATAGTTTCAACATAACAAGATAAATAGCTATAGTTTGTTAAGTCAATAGTAATAGCTCAAAAGGTTATCCAGTTAGAATTAATGAAAGTTTACTTACTATCTTTTAATAGACCAACAGCATAACGTTTAGCTGAGGTAGAACAAGCTGTAGACCTTAATACCTGTTTATCCATTTTATCACTGAAAAGCAATATCACTTGAAATTATTAAAATCTTTATTTCGACTCACCTATTTGATAAAAATTAGGCTACATTACATTACACTTTATAGTTGTTTGGATGATATTCATACATATTGCTGCTTTGGGTTAGATTCCTACGACTTTTTTGTAAGCGAACCAAAATATTGGAAAAATATTTTCTGATCAAAGTCATTGTGCTTAGATAATCAACCTGGATTTCATACCTTGCATAAACACATTCACTAGGATTTTCTACACCACCATCAACATTGAGGGCTATCTGTTCCCCTTTACTTCTAGAATAGTTAGAACTTCTAGTATTCATAGATAGATGCATTTCAACCTGACAATAATAAAAGATACCATTTCATAATGCATCCAGATTGTATTGTTTACAGATAATACCCTTTATCGGAGTATAAAAACAAAGTTATATATACCGGTAGTGCATTTTGGATATAACAACATAAAAACTCTTTCTTAGCATGTGAATTTCTAATTTCAAATTACACTCATATTTCAGTTATTTCACGAAAATTTAAGAGTAGCTCAAGCGTTGCTTTTTGACCAAGAACTATGTTGTTAATTACAATATAGCATTGAAGGCTACAAAATTGTCTTTAGAGGACTATCCAAAAACTGAAACGACAAAATCTGGTTTAATAAATATTTGTGTTTCACAAACTCCCAAGGCAGACAATATGCTGAAAGAGTTTTTAAAAATTACCTTTTTCTGTTGAGGTTTAACTTTAGTAGATACATGCTCCACTTCATCATAAGATAGACTCGCTGTTCTTACAGGATACTATAAAAAATATAGAATATTATCTTTAACCATATCTTTGTAACTTAGTAAAAGGGCAATTAATAAGTAAACTATGTACTACTTGACAATAATTTTTTAACATGACAGCTCAAAGTTGTTATCAAAGTATCGGTATTAAACAAGAGCTGTAATGTAATGTATTGAAATGCCCCTTGTATTTATAATCAACACAGTTTTAAGAGATACAAGACACTCTCAATGAAGAGTGTGAAGATAAAATGAGGCAATCAAAGATATATCTAAATCTCACCAACCTGTAATAAGTACAAATTATCTGCCAGACTTTTAGATAAATAAACATTCACCTGGAATAAAATTTTCATTCAAAGTATAAAAAGCATGTCCTACTTATATGATAAAATTTTTGTTTTCTCCAGTTTCAGTCTCTGTCTTGATATCATTAGATGCCAAGATGAGATTCGCAAATTTCAAAATAGCCTACTGGTATTGTCACAATGTTTACAAATTACGTAATCGCATTGTGCCAATTACTTTTCTAGGAGTTGAATTATCAACTTTGGAATGCAATTGATTGTCTCTGGTCTAGTGAAAAAGACAACCACTTGAAAAGTTATTATTTGTAAATATTTTTTTACAGAAGAGATATTCAGTTGATGTAAAAAGTGCTAACAAAGATAAGCAAGGCTCTGATGCCGATGGACCCTGTAATAATATTGTCATGATGAAATAATTCGCAATGTTTACAGTTTATAACTTAATGCTTCTATGAATTTATCCTGTTAGATTTATATGTTCATTTTACAACAATAACATTTCATACTACAAGTGTAAAGGTTGTATATTCATCATAGGAATTATTAGAGGAGTCAATAAGTTTCAGGAGTGTCTCACTCTCAGGTAGATTGAGCAGAACAAGTCTCACTACAATACATTAGGCTAACACACAAACAGAAGAGAATTGACAGCATTTGTTCCCAATGCAAACGAGTAACTGAGCAAATGTGTAAATAGGTGCAAACGTTGAATGTATAATTTTATGATAGGCTTTGTTATTAATGATTTAATTCACCTCTTCGACCACTGGGTCCTCTTCGTCCGCCATGCTCAACATGCTTATTGTCGCAATTATCCAGAAATATTGATGAAGACTCGAATAATTAAGGCGGTTTCTTTAAAAAGATATCAGTAATAGAAAATGTTCATATCTTAAATCACCTCAGGGGCTGTAAATATTGCTTGCTTTGAAATCATACGGTAAATATCTTACATGTTAATCAATGTCTTCAATTAAATAGCAGTAAAGATCTATTTATGAATTGATAAAATATAGGTCACTTTGCGTTTCAAAATAAACTTGACCTAGTTTTGAATATGTACGAAATAAGTATTCTTTCACGTGACATTTTGTAAACAAAAAATGGCGGATGATGAAAGTGAGAGGAATCCTCTCTTGGAAAAAGAACAAATTCAGCGTCCACAGAGTAGTGGCTCTTCATCCTCAGTATGTATTACATGGTTCAATCATCTACCTCTCAATCACTTAATTTTCTGTGTGATCTGCAGTTTTTATTCTCAAGAATATTTTTGTTTTAATTTGACGGATGATGCAGATAAATTGTTCAATTGTAAAAGTTGACAAGTCTTCATTCACGTTCTAAAGTTAGTTCATAGCTTTAAGTGTCAGCTAAATCGAAGGGTCAAATGGATTATTTACATAGTAGGATTTTCCAAATTTAAATAGTGATTATGCCATTAATAACTTGAAGCCCTATTTTCATCATGACTGCATCTTCATGGTTTAAAGCTTATTAAACTACAATTCCCTTGAATTGTAAAACTCACAAGATATAAGGAGGAAATATTAAAATTTCCTTATTGTGCTATAAATTGTTTCCATACATTGAGCCCATCTGGTTTTAATAAAAGCCAAGGGTTACAGTACTAGTTTGACAGCTATATGTATTGTATATTATATAACATTTGTCAGTAATAGTTTCAAGAATGACAATTTCTATCAGTTTTTTTATTATTATTATATACAACCATTTCCTTGAATAAACTGCTGTTTGTACTTGACCTAGTCTTTGACTACTTGTAGAATATTGCTTTTCTCATAGTTATTATATCATTTCTTAGGAACATTCAAATCCTATTTTGAGCTCAGATGAGTGAAAATAATATTGCAAAGCTGAGAGAGATTTTTGTGGAGATGCACACCATAGATTTTTTATTTCAATAACAGTTTTTTCTGGATAGAGCACGTCAAAATATCATGTGAATGTAAACAATCTACCTGATCCCACTCAAGTTTATATTTTAGAAAAAAGATTTTTGTTTCAGATAAATGCATCAACTGGTGATGTGGAAAGTGATCCAATTCAATCATTGCTATCTAGTAATTCTATAAATAGATCAGAAGAATCACAACCTGAAAAATTACTTTCTGCAAAATTTGAAGTAAGTTGATCTGAAGATTTGATCTTATGATTTTTTTTAAACCAATCTGTAAACTTGAACTTATGTTTGGCATTCTTTAAATGTCTTAGTTCTAGAAGATCATCTATTGAATTTTAGGAAGATATTGGGTTTAAACTAAAGTCAACCAGATTGTTTCTCCATAGCAGGTGTTGATTCCAGTCAATCTTGTGGAACGCATGATCCCATTCTGTGATTGAGTTTGTTATTTGGTATTCATTCTAAGATTCCACATGATTTGTTAATTTGGTATATTTTCTAAAAAGGCATACCAATAATACTGCTTAATGTTTTTTTCTTTTCTACATGTTCATTGTGCAGATGCCAATTTCATTTTTTGATTTCAAAATTATTTTTAGAGTTTAGATTATGATGTCTGTGAAAATGCTCTATATCTTCGTGAAGAAAAGAAGAAAACAACAAAGGTATGATTTACTTGTAAAGCTTTTAAATTTTGAATTGTTTTGGTACCGGTATCAATATAAATAGCTTTTAATGAGACAGTGATTTTTAATCTATCACAGCAATACTTTCATACAAGAGGGGTTGCCCATGGTTTTAAATGGTTCTCAAGATTTATGCATGTGTTAATAGTTTACAAGTAACTAACTATAGGTCATTTTACAATGTGACTATGTGATCAGGGCTAAATGTTCCTTTTAATCATGTGTTAATATTGTATTCTTTCATTATAATGGAATTTTTTTTGGTTTTAGGAGATTATTCGTAAAGAATTAGCGAGATGGTTTGTATCATTAGCTATAGGAGTATGTACTGGTTTGATAGCGTGTTTAATAGACTACCTAATAGAATTAACATCCAGTATTAAATATGGCTATGTTAGAAATTGTAAGTATTTTGATTAAGAACAAGTAAACATTTTTGCCTTCTTTGAAAACTCAGAATTTGAAGAAAAGCCAAACTTTGTTTTTATATTTTTTTTGTTACTTCCTTTTCTTTAATTTTATCCTTACCTCCTTGTTCTCTAATGTCTATTAAATTTTTCTTTCTAGATGTTGAGAAATGTGTAGAAGATTTTTGTTTATATGCTCCATTTTTAATGTGGGTAGCATTCAATGCCTTTATAGTAATGTTTGGTGCTATTCTAGTGGCTTATGGAGAGGTATGTGTAATTTTCTATATTTGATTCAGATATTTTTTCAATATTATATATAACTTGCAAAATTGTCATTACGTAACATCCATAGTGGATTTAATGTAAGCGATTTTCAAAATTAGTACATAAAAAAAATCATTTATATATTATATCAACACAGTGACTACTTTTGCAGCACTGTATTAATTGATTTACAGGTGCTTTTTACGAACTTCTGGTCATGCTTTGGCAATGAAAATCTACTTTTTCTTCATATGAGCTGCCGAAACAATATAGTCAAATCATAAGTGAGTTATGTGGCCAAATAATCATTTGACTACTTTTATGGCAGTGCCACTTAGGGTCTAAAGACGCGGCTCTGGAGCATTAATCCATTTGATGACACCACCAGCCAATCAAATTTATCCTCTCTCCAATGCTGGGATTTAGTGACGCGAACAGAAGGCGTATTCTGAGAAGCATTAGACTGATTTATCAACTGAATACACCTTTTATTTTGATTTTGGAATTGGAGTCAAAATCACACAATTTTATTGCTTTGGTGGGACATTCCCTTACTGATAAAAGATTACATGTAATTATGGCACATCTAATTAGTAATTAGTGATGATCATTGAAATCTGTATGTAGGCACCTTTTCTATCTAGGCTCCCCTTTAGATAATGATGATGATATATTTTTCAGCCTATGGCAGCAGGTAGTGGTATACCACAAATTAAATGTTATTTGAATGGTATAAAGATACCACATGTAGTTAGAATTAAAACTTTAATATGTAAAGTATTAGGTGTAGTTTGTGCTGTAGCTGGAGGATTAGCTGTGGGAAAGGTAGGATCACTTTTATTTTTGTTTCCACTTAAATGCAAACTATTAGGTCTTCTAGAAGTATTTCAGCATAATGCACTAGTGTCAATATTTGAATTTTAAATTTGAAAATATGATATCAGATATCAGCATTACTTTATATCGTCTAGTAAAGCTGGTACTTGTAAATATTTGTATGGTTTTATTATAGGAAGGTCCAATGATACATTCAGGAGCTGTTGTGGCAGCAGGAGTATCTCAAGGTAGATCTACATCATTTGGTATAGATTTTAAGGTGAGTTTAGTTTACTTTGTTTGTGATAGTTATAGCAGTATTGAATATCAGATCTGATCTGTCATATGGTCTGCAATTTATCTTTGTTGATATATTACTGACTCACTAAGAATAAAATGATAATATATTTTCAGATTTTTGAATATTTTCGTACTGATACTGAAAAAAGAGATTTTGTATCAGGCGGTGCGGCTGCAGGTGTTGCTGCTGCTTTTGGAGCACCTGTTGGTGGTGTTCTCTTTAGTTTAGAAGAAGGTGCTAGTTTCTGGAATCAAGCCCTAACATGGAGAATTGTAAGTTAATTTTTTTTATTTTCAAATTATTGGAATGTTGCTGGTGAGAAGGAAAATACTTATTCATAGGCTCATATAGCTATATTTCAGCTATCTGTATCAGTTTTCAGTATTAAAGCTCTATCTGTACACTTATTTACTTATAATTATGTTGATTATATTCATCAAATATGAACTTATTTTGATATTATGTGTTTTATAATATGTTGAATATAATATTTTCTATTCCAGTTCTTTGCCTCTATGACCTCTACATTTACATTGAACGTTGTACAGAGTTATATTAAAGGAAATCCATGGGAGTTATCTAATCCTGGTTTGATTAATTTTGGTGAATTTGAGGTAAGATTTGGTCACAATATCATGTTTGAAATATCAATTTCCTATATCTAAATACTGCATATCTTCTAAATTTGATATATATTATGTTTATTCTAATATTCTTTTATATTGCAGGATTCTAAATATGCAGGGTTTGAAATTCCAATATTTATGGTAATGGGAGTCATTGGTAAGTAATTAATTATTAATGATAAACAAAAACAACAATATATTCCACAATTATTGATATTGTTTCATAGCTTATTCACCCAAATATTTTGTCACCATAGTCATTCGCTGTTTGATGAAAGATTTTAGGATGATATCATTCTGTATTATTAACATGTTTATGATTTGTTTATTGCAGGTGGTTTATTAGGGGCTCTATTTAATCAAATAAATTATATGTTAACTTGTTATAGATTAAGGTAATTTTTAAATTCTTATTGTAATTTTAGATATATTTCTATCATCAAGACCATTGTTCAAATCTACATTATGTCATTCTTAATATGCTTACAATACATACAGAGATCTGGTTGCTCAGTGAGTTGGATGCTAGCTTGCTAACCTGAAGGTCAAACTAATTTCCCCTGTGTTGCAGGTCAGAGGGGTTTGATATGGAAAGATAATAAACTGAGACCCCCACATTTAGAAATTGAACTTCCCGAAATAATCGCAAACTGTGTGACCTTGCTAGTCCTCAACAAGTGCAGAAAAATAGGGTGTTCAACTCCATTTCATGTGGAGATAATTAGTATAAATATACCATTTCATTGTTCATTGTTATGAAAATAATGTTTAGTATTACTTGTTCATCCTCTGAAAGTAACAGTGAAAGTAAAATTAGTTTATTGTTTAATATTTATAGATATGTAAAACAGAGATGGAATCAAGTTATAGAAGCTATGATAGTAGCTAGTTTAACTGCTACAGCAGGTTTTGTTACTATATATTTTAATAATGATTGTCAACCAATGAAAGATAAAACACAAACTAATCTAGTTCAGGTGAGCTTAACATTTCCAAATAGTTGTTGACAAAAGTTCATGCTGCCAACTTGTGTTTTGGATATACATCCTCATCAGGACAGATAATTTTGGAAACCAATAAAACCAATTGAAAAAACAGAATTCCCCTTTAAGACAAGAGTAGATTAGGTAATAACTACCCCTAATCTATATATATTTTGAATATAAGGTCAAACTTCAAGTTAGAAACTTTTTTCAAATTTGAAAATTTGCATTTTTGTATGCGTGTCATTTTGTGGACAAAGTTTTCAAAACTGTAATGAATTCTTAGTGATATATTATATTTTGTATTTCTATATTATTTTGTAGTTTTTCTGTGATGATGGACAGTATAGTACTACAGCTAATATATTTTTTCAAACACCAGAATCTAGTGTCAAAGATCTCTTTCATAATCAACCAGGTAATGTTTCTTGTATGTGTTTCTTGGTACTTGGTAAAAATCCTGAGATAAAGATCGGCAATTTTGGATCGCAAGCTGTTGGTAGTATTGGTGAATTTCTAATAAAGCTTATTTAATCAAAAGAAATGAAATTGAAATGATTAGATGTCCTTCTTTTCTGGAAACACCATACATTGTGCAATGAGGGAAATTTTTCCAGGACAATGACATTGGCCTATTTTTTTTCAATATTCATTGTCAAGCGAGCTTTCATGTGCACAACCTGTAGCACACAGGTCCTCAATTATATTATATTCATACTTAAGTACAAAGTAATATGCTTGGTTTTATTCTTTCTGGTTATATTCTTATCTGACAAGAGCTCTCATGTTGTTAACACATGTTTAAATAAATAATCCCAGTCATATCTATTGGTTTGGATATTGGAGTGAACTTTCCTATATCAGAATTTTAGGCATAAGATAAATTTAACTATCTATATTTGTAACTTATAGTTTATATTGTGTATGTTATATATTTATCATTATAGGTTCATATGAAGTTAAAACTCTAGGCTTTTATACATTAGTCTATTTTCTGTTAGCAACATGGACCTATGGTTTGAGTGTACCAAGTGGTCTGTTTATACCTTGTATATTAATTGGTGCTGCCTGGGGACGATTAACAGGAATCTTCTTTAATTATGCCTTCCCTGAAGCTGTAAGTGGAATTATTAACTCTGTATTATGAATTAAAACATCGTTACAGGGATTGTTTTGATTTCCTCCCATATTTGTAGTTCTTGTAATTCCAGAAAAATTGGATTTTTTGGGAAAAAAACGGTATTTCTTGAGAGAGTGGAATTTTCCTTAAACTAACAATGTTGAAATTCCATGTGTTGTTAAAAAAAGATTTAGTAACATCTTGTGACATATATGTCATATATTATAAAAAAAACTATTGTGTCTATAATGCAGGACTGGGCAGATCCAGGGAAATATGCTTTAATGGGAGCTGCTGCTATGTTAGGTGAGATTTATTTAGACTAGAAGGCAGGTTAAAGTCCTGTGTTGGGCCTTGGAGGTCCTTGCTGTGGTCTCTTGCCTTCATTCTGGCCAAACAGCATAAACATGAAAAAAGAAGAAGGTGACAAATTAGAAATGACTGTCATTATAGAATTGGGAATGAGAAGTCATTGATACAATGTAACAACTCTCAAAAATAAATGTCGCCTCTAGTTATGACCTACACATTTGAGCTTAAACTAAAGGTCTTGAGTTTGTTATTAACCTATGTTTTTCTATGTATAGGTGGAGTAGTAAGAATGACTATTAGTTTAACTGTTATAATAGTAGAAGCTACTGGTAATATCTCCTATGGTTTACCTGTTATGATTATATTAATGATAGCTAAATGGGTTGGAGATTTCTTTAATGAGGTAAACTACACCATTTCTTCTGGCTCTATTGTCATTTATATCATTTTACATAAAGTATCATGTTCCATATGATACTTTGAATTATATGATTTGAAATACATAGTTTAGATTAAAGATGAGTGTTCTTATTTTTTAGTGTCAAATTAACACAAATTACTGTATTTGATTAAATGGTGTTTCTAATGAATTATCATGTATTCTTAATCATATCATTATGTTCTTATTGCATGTAATTAAGAGTTTTAACCAATCATAAATGTCCATGTATATACAGTCTGGATAAGCAAAAAAAATACTTTTTTAACCTTTCTTGATAGGTTACTCATTGGAATTCTGTTAGTTATTCTCTTCTTTCTAATTTAGCTAATTATGAATTAATTATGGACATGTGAGAAAAACTGATATTTTTTTAAGTCATCAGAACACCTCTACTTTCTATTCAACTAAGTATTAGCATTTTCATTTTCATAAATGAAAATAAGGGAACCCATCTTTAAATCTTTCATTACACTAATGTTTCCAAGTCATTATTCAGTTCTTCCTATTAGCTATAGTGTTATAGAATAGGAAATAGCTACGTAAATTAATCAGCATTTTCACATATTTTTACTGACGATGAATCTGATTGATCAAAATCTAAATTTTCAACCAATCAAAATAAGTCATAAGAATATCTACTTACTGTGTCAAGTGCTCAAGTACTTTCATTTTTCTACTTTCTTTAGGTTAATGTATGAATATTTTCAGGGTATATATGATATGCATGTACATATACAAGGTGTACCTATATTAGGTTGGGAACCACCAGTTATGTCTTCTAATATTAGTGCTATGTAAGTTATAATTATATTATTATGATATTAATAATAATTGAAGTGACCTCCAATATGTTATATTGATTCAAAATAAAAAGATAACACTACGTTTTCTAACATTAAAAGCCGCACTAACAATCCGTTGTATTGCATGGTAGGATAAGTATGGACACAATACAAATTGTTTGTGCATGAATATTCATGGTTGACTATACAAAGATTTTTGTTTACATAATTTTTTGTTTGGTTTTTCCATTAAGGTTTTAACCCTGTTCCCCTGTCAGGTCAGAGAGGGTGATATGAAATAGCATTTTGTCAATAAATCAAGACTATGTTCCATTGACGCCTAGTCAGTTGAAATAGAAACAAAGTAGACTAATGTCACTGGCCGGGTAAAGTTTCATTACACACTCATCTCATTTTCTTTATCTTGCAGTGAAGTTATGAGTCATCCTGTTACAGTATTTAGAACTAAAGAAACAGTAGGAAGAATTGTATCTATATTAAAGGCTGATGAACATCATGGTTTTCCTGTTGTTTCTAATTTTGATCCACATGATGGAGTAAGTAGGAGTAGATTTGAATAGAATCTTCATTATATATCTGTTCGAAGCAGTATTTCATCTGACTTTTATTTCAAATCCCTTGGTCAATTAATGTAAAGACTGTAATGAAAAAATGCTGGTGACAATCAAAAAGGGGATAATAATTTTTATAAAAATCATTGTTCCAAATGCGATTGGTTCAGCAAACACCAACAACACGTATGTTCCTGTGATTTTCTATCAAAATCATTTCTCTTTCTCTATATAAGTTTTACTGTTTTTTATTATAGACAATAAGTCGGGAAACATTTGGTACATTTGAAGGTATTATTATTAGAGAACAACTTATTATTCTACTCAAATTAAAGGTCAGTATATAGTCTAGTCGTTTGGATGGCAAAATTTCCCTCATTACACCGTGCATGGCGTTGCCCACCTTCAATAGCCCACATGATGCAGAAAAATAGGAAGTAAAACTCCAGAATTCCAGAATTATTCCATGTTGTTAATTATTAATAATTATTAATTATTTATTATTATAGGTATTTGAAGAGAATCCTGATTATCAGTTAATATTGAAGAATATAAAGGCGTCTGATTTCCGTGATACTTACCCTAGATTTCCACCTATACAACAAATTAACCTGACATCACAGGAAAGAGATATGACTGTTGATCTTACTGTGTTTATGAATCCAGCACCATTTACAATCTCAGATGTAAGTTATTTCTGCAGTCAAATTGCAATTTTAGAAGTCAAATTACAATAACAATCTCAAATGTTAATTTTACATGTTTTAGATGAATTGTCAAATTATGATCTCTCATGTCAAATTACAATCTGAAATATCAATTTTGCATGTATGATATATATTGTCAAATTACAATCTGACTTGTCAATTTTACATGTACAATATATTATTGTCAGATTACAATCACACGTCCGTTTTAAATATACAATATACATTGTCAAATTACAATCTGACATGTCAATTTTACATGTACAATATATTATTGTCAGATTGCAATCACACGTGAGTTTTAGATATACAATATATATTGTCAAATTACAATCTGACATGCCAATTTTACATGTACAATATATTATTGTCAGATTACAATCACACGTGAGTTTTAGATATACAATATACATTGTCAAATTACAATCTGACTTGTCAATTTTACATGTACTATATATTATTGTCAGATTACAATCACACATGTCAGTTTCTACTTGTACATCAATATTGTCAAATTACAATCTCATATATTAGTTTTACATGTACAATGTATTATTGTCAAATTACAATCTGATATGTTAAGTTTACATGTACACTATAATGTCAAATTGCAATCTGACATGTCAATTTTACATGTACAATATATATTGTCAAATTACAATCTGAAATGTCAATTTTACATGTACATGCTATATTGTCAAATTGCAATCACAGATCAATTCAGATTATTTGGTGTCGTCTATGATAAAAGCAAAATTAAATAATAACGACATTATGTTTTTACATTTATTTACAGAGAGCCTCGCTACCTCGTATATTTAGATTATTTAGAGCTTTAGGTTTACGTCATGTTACAGTTATAGATGATAAACATCAGGTAAATAGTTCTTTCCTGTATGATTTTCATTTTGTGATGTCTTCCAAGTTAAAAAAAGTGGTTATTTAACAGATTTGACATAATATTTTATTATGCTTTGGAAAAAAAGGAAATGGAAGATGATTACATCAAAATTTTGGAACACTGTTGTGGTAGTAAGTAATCACTTTTAAAACAAATTGGCCTTTACATATTCATGATAGCTTTAATGAATTCATTGGACTGTTAAATTTTAGGTGATCGGCATGGTGACAAGAAAAGACTTAGCTCGGTATAAAATCTGGAGACATCACGGTCAAATTAGTATGGAGGAAATACAGATATCTCATGGTTAGACTAACAAGGAATGGAAATACTTTTAGTAATAATAACCACTGACCAAAACGGGTATGGGTTTCAGAAAGACCTGTTAAAAAATGGCCTTGGGATCAGTCTAAAACTTGCCGATTATTATTAGTTAATACTTATTAAATATTAGACTTATGTTAAAAACTCCAGCAAAATTGCTTTATTAGGGCTAGATTATGCAATATACCCTGAGAAACCGCCGTGTGATGTCAACTTTTATAACATGGAGCCTGGGCATATCATTTGCAATTACCAAATACTCAAGTGTTCAAAAGGTTAAGCCCATATTTCCCATTTTTGTATCGTACCCATCTCTAAGATTTAATCTAAATCCACCGAATTTTTTGTCATCATATCTTTTAACGTATTTTTTCTGTGTAATCATTAAGATATTACAAATATATTTCACCCTTTGATTACTAAATTTCAGGATATGTCAAAGATTTTAATATTTTCATTGCCAACAATTGAAATGGTCGATAGGGTTAATGACATTCTGGCAAAGGCTGTCATTAAAGAGATTGTAAAGAGGTTTTCTAAATTTTTTATGTGTATCGAGGACACTAATAGCATCTATTTGCACCAATCAGACGTCCGGGGTTCCTGCAATTCCACAAAAAAAGTGTTTGATGACGTCACTAATCACAAAAAAAAATCACATCACAAAGATGTCTGGTTAGTAATTGGAATGGTGCAAATTGATGCAATCAGTGACCCAAATACACATAAAATTTTTAGAAAACAATCCCTTTAGTAAGAATATTTTTGCTGCTGATCTATATTTATGCCCAAATTCAAGTGAAATGTATATTTATGCAACGAAGATTAAGCCTATGCACAAAAGAAGAGTTTAAAATGTACAAGGTTAGATTAAGTGGTAATTGAAGTTACATGTATATTAAGGTCATTGTGCATTCTGCATTATCACTTATTCTGCCTATAAAATGATGCCTGTTATACTGCTTTTGGCTACAATTTTCTATTTTTATATGTAAGATATGTACATATTTGTAAGTATTATTTCCAAAAGAAATGATAGTATCACTTGATCTTATAACTACTTATTCCTATTAAATCACTCCACAAAATGTTTTTTTTAATGAGATTATGGAATAGTTTGAAAAAATACAAAGCTTACATAAAATTTTCTGAATTATTGAAAGCAGGTCACAACCATTACTATACTTGTACTTGTATTTCTCAAAACTTCTGTGGCTAAAGAATCTTTGCATGCTTTTACTGATTAATTGTTATTTTTTACTTTTAAAAGCAATTTATCATTCTTTTCTAGTCATAACTATTTATATTTTTTGTAAATATTCAGATAATGTTAAGCTCTCTCTGTTCCATGTAAATAGTTATATTCAGATGCTGCTAAACTCTCTCTGTTCCATGTAAATGAATATATTCTGAAAACCATGTTATGAATATATTCAGATAATGTTAAACTCTTTGTTAATAATGTAAATGAATATATTCTGAATACCATGTTATGAATATATTCAAATACTGTTAAACTCTCTGTTAATAATGTAAATGAATATATTCCGAATACAATGTTATGAATATATTCAGATAATGTTAAACTCTCTGTGAATTATGTAAATGCATGTATTCTGAATACCATGTTATGAATATATTCAGATAATGTTAAATTCTCTGTGAATAATGTACATGAATGTATTCTGAATACCATGTTATGAATATATTCAGATAATGTTAAACTCTCTGTCAATAATGTAAATGAATATATTCTGAAAACCATGTTATGAATATATTCAGATAATGTTAAACTCTCTGTGTACCAATGAATATATTCTGAATACCATATTATGAATATATTCAGATAATGTTAAACTCTCTGTGAATAATGTAAATGAATATATTCTGAATTCCATGTTATGAATATATTCAGATAATGGTAGACTCTCTGTTAATAATGTAAATGAATGTATTCTGAATACCATGTTATGAATATATTCAGATAATGTTAAACTCTCTGTGTACCAATGAATATATTCTGAATACCATGTTATGAATATATTCAGATAATGTTAAACTCTCTGTGAATAATGTAAATGAATATATTCTGAAAACCATGTTATGAATATATTCAGATAATGTTAAACTCTCTGTGAATGAAGTAAATGAATATATTCTGAATACCATGTTATGAATATATTCAGATAATGTTAAACTCTCTGTGTACCAATGAATATATTCTGAAAAGCATGTTATGAATATATTCAGATAATGTTGAACTCTCTGTGAATAATGTAAATGAATATATTCTGAATACCATGTTATGAATATATTCAGATAATGTTAAACTCTCTGTGAAAAATGTTAATGAATGTATTCGGAAAACCATGTTATGAATATATTCAGATAATGTTAAACTCTCTGTGTACCAAAGAATATATTCTGAAAAGCATGTTATGAATATATTCAGATAATGTTAAACTCTCTGTGAATAATGTAAATGAATATATTCTGAATACCATGTTATGAATATATTCAGATAATGTTAAACTCTCTGTGTACCATTGAATATATTCTGAAAAGCATGTTATGAATATATTCAGATAATGTTAAACTCTCTGTGAATAATGTGAATGAATATATTCTGAAAAACATGTTATGAATATATTCAGATAATGTTAAACTCTCTGTGAATAATGTAAATGAATATATTCTGAAAACCATGTTATGAATATATTCAAATAATGTTAAACTCTCTGTGAATGAAGTAAATGAATATATTCTGAATACCATGTTATGAATATATTCAGATAATGTTAAACTCTCTGTGTACCAATGAATATATTCTGAAAAGCATGTTATGAATATATTCAGATAATGTTGAACTCTCTGTGAATAATGTAAATGAATATATTCTGAATACCATGTTATGAATATATTCAGATAATGTTAAACTCTCTGTGAATAATGTTAATGAATGTATTCGGAAAACCATGTTATGAATATATTCAGATTATGTTAAACTCTCTGTCAATAATGTAAATGAATATATTCTGAATACCATGTTATGAATATATTCAGATAATGTTAAACTCTCTGTGAATAATGTAAATGAATATATTCTGAAAACCATGTTATGAATATATTCAGATTATGTTAAACTCTCTGTGTACCAATGAATATATTCTGAAAACCATGTTATGAATATATTCAGATAATGTTAAACTCTCTGTGAATAATGTTAATGAATGTATTCTGAAAACCATGTTATGAATATATTCAGATTTTGTTAAACTCTCTGTCAATAATGTAAATGAATATATTCTGAATACCATGTTATGAATATATTCAGATAATGTTAAATTCTCTGTCAATAATGTAAATGAATGTATTCTGACTACCATGATTTAGCTTTCTCTTCAATTGAACTGAAGCTATTAAGCAATTATTAGTGAAGGAAGAAGTCACCAAGTAAGGATTGACTAATAGAGGAAACCTTGTAAACTAGTGATTTAATCAAATGCATTCCATTATTTTGTTAATTAATTGACATTTTTGTATAAGTTGTAATGATGTATGTCCCTCTATCCAACAAACCAAGGTATTTGTCAATAATAATCCTCACCTGTGCTGGATATGTCCTTATGAAATTGGTCAAATCCTCTGCAGTAGGAAGAATATTGGCTTGTTGGATCAAGGCTTTTAGTTCATAAAGCATGATTTAGTCTACAGCAATGACACTAATCCTGTAAATCTTTAGTAAAAGGAAAATTTGTAAATTCAAAAAAGATAAAATCAAGAAACACAGTCATCTGATGACTGAAACTTTTGTATCAACATGAATTTTTGAGACAGTTGCACCAGGTTTCTGCAATTGTGCTTAATTCTTAGTAATTCGCTGATAGTGGATATGTTTACTGCTTCAAACATATGTACTTAATGTATGTAAAATGGTACAATATTTATATAAAGAAGTTCAGTGGAAGTTACGTCAGCGTTGATTTATTTGGACATTAAGAATTCCAAAACAGACATTATGCAATTGATTTAATTGTATATGTACTTGATCTCAAAGCTGTGGTCAGAGATTGACAGTTAATTGGGAATTCATTTGAGAATTGTTTCAACTTTTCAATGACACATAGACCAAAAAAAAACGTTTCTGAAAAAATATATCAATTTAGTTCAGCTGATAAAACAAATATAGATAGGCCCTACACTTTTAAGAAAAGATTTTAGGTCTAAATTTCTTTTATCATTTTCCTATTATACTGCTGTGTTTCCTTCAAACTAGATTGAAAATATAATAGAAAGTAAATGGCGACAGATAAATACATGTGTTTGTATAACTTGAAAATGAGTTGAATTGTAGACCTACGCTTCTAAAAGAGTCATGTAAAAAATGTTATTTTGTTATGTAAATATTATGCAATGATTATGTGATATTAAATGGTTATCTTATTAAAGTTTTGTACATTTAACTATTTTCTTTCTTCTATGTTTTCCTCCTCATGAAATTAGCTTAATGTCGCTGTCCTGTCAAAATTATATTTAATACACTCACTGTATAAAAAGCATATAACCTCAATACTGTTTGGGTATATTAATAGAACTCTGGGTTCAAATATTTGGGCTTCTTGTCCCTTTCAGTATATAAGCAATCTTCTGACACCCCTTCCACACTACCTGGGGCTACATGAAGGCTTTGCAGTGAACAGGTTAAGCATCAAGACATAGTTAAAAAACATGAAAGTTTGATACAGTTGACAGAAACATCCCAATGACTTATTGCTTATTATAAACTATTGCCATAGGAACACTGCAATTAAAAATAACCCAATCAACTACCCCCTCTCTTGGGCTGTGTACACATTCACATTTGAATTACCACTTATCAGTATCTATATGCTTATGTTGATTAACTTTGAATTTTGACTAGAAAGTAGGTCTTGTTATGGACTAGTAATAATCACAAGATATCAAGCTTTTAAAACATGTATTATTGTCTTAAGTTATAATTTATAAAACAAACAATTAAAACAATAACAATAATAATATCACACTATACAAGTTTTTGAAACATAAATAAAAATAAATAGTAGGCACACATAGTGATAGAGCAAAGTAGTCTTCAGATTTCCAAAGGCCTACATACAACTATTTAACATAAGATATTTGATTTTCATGCATTTTCCTTTTAAACTCATTTCAATAATTACTATTTTAAAGACATATTCAATTGTTAATATTAAGTGGATGAGTCAAGTTATTTATGCAAATTCAAAACATTAACATAAGCAGTCTTATTTATTTTGCAGTCTGATGTATTTTGAAGTACAGCAAATAATAACCAGTAACTATACAATCCAATAGTCAACAAATTGGCACAGTTTTAATTTTCTACACAATACTTAGATCATTTTACAGGCAATTCCTTCTTAAGAAAATTTCCTTTTGCATAATTATTTTCAGTTATATTATTTCAAACTACATACAATTTTTGTATCAACATAAATATGGCAACAATAGAAACATAATCTAGATTTTTCTTGATATACAGCAGTCAAAAATATCTTTGGTATGGTAAAAAAAATTGTAAACAAAAACACAAAAAAAGCAACAAAACTAATTGCATAAAGTATCTTGCTATACATGACAAAGATGCCAAAAAAGTAGAGGTTACTATTTTTAGAATGTCCTGTTGAGTGTAGGTTACTATTTCCTGGTACTATATATAGTTGTTATTGAGTGTTGGTTACTATTCATAAGTTATAGAGTTATTGAGGTACTAGGACAAGGTTATTAGTTGTGACCCAGAATGACTAGAATACTATAGATTAAAACGTTTAAAATGCACAAAGACCAATATTATACAAATATCACAATTATATCCTTCTATTTACAATATCACCTATATACAATCAATAATACCTTTAAATACAATTATTAGTTTATCTAGCTGACAACTACTCAAATATTACCGGGTTAATACAATTACTGTCCTAGATTATCTACACTGGCATAATTACCATTATTCTAAGCTTCGGCCAAAGCCCGATTATAGTTCATATCTTAAAAAGTACATTGGTGGACCTTCCATTTATTTATGATGGTAACATGATTTTCATAAAGTTAAGACAAACATTTTGAAGAGAAGCACGAAATATTGGAAATCAAAGCAAGAAACATTGGAAAGACAAACAAGAAATATTCAAGCAGGAACCTTTGAAATTAAAATATGTAAAGTAAAGATTTCTGTGTAGACATTAGAATGTAAAATTTTAGAATTATTTTTACACAATGCTTAAAAGAAGCAAGAAACATTGGAAAGAGAAGCAAGATTTAAAAGAAAAGCATGAAATTTAAAAGAGTAGCAGCAAGAGACGTTGGTAAGAGAAACAAAAAACATTGAAAAGAGAAGCAATAAAAATTGGAAACAGTAGCAAGAAACATTGGAAATAAAAGCAAGAATCATTGGGAAGAGTAGCAAAAACATTGGTAAGAGAAGCAAGAAAGATTAAGAAGAGTAGCAAGAAACATTGGAGAGAGTAGCAAGAAACATTGGGAAGAGTAGCAAGAAACATTGGAGAGAGTAGCAAGAAACATTGGGAAGAGTAGCAAGAAACATTGGGAAGAGTAGCAAGAAACATTGGAAAAAGAAGCAAGAAGAACATGGACTATAAAAGTTAAAATACTTAAAAATAATATCAATTTCTGTGGAGACCTTTCGACTTTTTCTATAAAACTTTGGAATCATTTTTCAGTTTTCATTTTTTTAGTCAATGTGTATCTTGAATTACTTTTTGGCAGCACTGACCACACTCTTTGATTTGACGCCGCGAGTTGTAACTGTACAGGGCTTGGGTCTTAATTTCACACCATTAGAGGCATATTGTGGTGTTTCTGTAGATGTTGATGTGGATATTGAAGATGTCTTTGATTGCGTAGTTTGTGGATCTGTGGAAGTGTTGGTCGTCTTGGTATCTGGAAATGTTTTGGCCTCTTCATTAACTGGAGTAGCAGCTGGTGTCTTTTGTTCTTGACTTTCATCAATTCTCGATTTTTTCAAAGTGGCAAAAAGATCTTTGAAGATTGCTTTATACGGAGGTGGCTGTCCTGGTTCTTGTCCAAAATCCTTATTCAATGTCAAATTGATCAATGTTTGCACTTCTTTGTGAGAAACAGATGAAAAATTGCGACATTTTTCTTCCATGTCATCAAAATCTCCTGAGAGTCTTTTAGAACGTCCTTGAATCACATCTTCATATTTAGAGAACAATGTTTTATATTGGGTTTCCAGTTCATTGAGTATAGATAAACTACTATCGTCATCAGTATCTTTGGTCACAATTTCTTCAGCATCTGAGGCCACAACATTGACCGACTCCATACTACCATAAAGACTACCACCACTTTCCAACTTGACAGCTTTTCCAGCACTCTTCAGCTTTAGATCATCGTGTTCAAGATCAGCCAAAATCTCAGTATCGTCTGTTCTTTCACAAAATCGACAAGCTATCTTGTCTGGTCCTAAGGCTTTCTTGATTTCTTGGCGCAACGTTTCTTCTTGTATATCCTGAGTCAGTTTGTCTAATTTGTCTTCCAAAGTTTTTATTTTGTCTTCCAACGTTTGATTTTCATGTAATGCCAGAGCCAGTTCGACCTCAAGGTCTTCTGTTTGGCGGCGTTCAATCATGTGATCGGTTTTCAGTTTGTGAACTTGTTCTTGCAGCCGTTTGATCTCTTTTTCATATGGGTTGAGTGGAAGATTTTTAAATTGATCATTGTATGTCCACCTGAGATTCTCTATATAGTAATTATTTGGTTTGTCATTTGTATCAAGACTAGCTAAACTGGTGGCTCGACGTTTGTCTTGTTTTTGAACGGCTATTTCCTTAGCTTTTAGATCCTCTACTTTACGTTGAAGTTCCTCAACTTTGAAATCTAATGATTCAACTGTTAGACTCAGTCTGAAAGTATAAAACAGAATAAACTCAGTGATCATTTCATGACGATACTTTACATCATAGTACATAATTTTGCACAATAGACGATCTCTAAAATGAAATCATGAAGTCGCAGATCCTAGAGATTCTTTTTTGAAATTCTTTTAATCCCAAAATACTTGTTCTCTATAACAGCCTTAATCTACGAACAACGGCAAAACTGGAGCATAATCATAGTTCCGTAACCGATTGCGTCCAGTGAACTGAATAAGCTGTTTACAGTACCTGTTAATTGTCTGCTTATCTGATTTAGCATCCAACATCAATCTTTGATTAGCTTTCTCTAATTCTTGATTGATTCTATCTAATTCTTCATTAACCTTGTTTCTTGATTCGCTGGTACTTCTTAAAGATTCTACTTGATTTCGAAGATGCTGAAAGAAGCGTTTAAAAGACATGTATAAAGAAGCTACTACCAAGAACTTCCAAGTAGAAAATTCCAATGACAATGACAATGTTGATGGCCGACCAACCTGCAGATCCTCTCAACTGAATGGCCTTTGGAAAACTTTTAATCAAACAAAAACACAACCTATTATATTACAATAAAATCATTTATGATATTAGAAAAAAATAAAGAGATGATCACATACCTGTAATTCTTGTTGTTGATCATGATTTATCTGGTTTAATGAAGCAACAGTAGATTCTAGATCTCTGTTTCTACCTAGTAATGCTTTACCAAGTTCTGCTGCCAACCGTAAGTCTGGAAAGACATAGTATTTCATTAATATAGGACTCGTTAGTGTATTTACTTTTATCCTGGGTAGAACTTGGCAGCTTGCGAGTAATAAACAAAATGACCCCCTTCCTCACCCAAATCTACACAATTCTCCAGTAATTGATGTAGGTCAGATTACTGACACTGAAAAGATATATAAGTCGTTCTGATGGGATATTAGACCGAAGCTTTGTATGTGAAATTCCCAAATAATCGAAAAAGACAAAGCCAATTTCTGTACTGTCCAAATGGTCAGGTGTAAATCAATACAGTAGGAAGTAAAACTTTATCTCAATTCGATTTTTGACAGAATTAGTCTTATAAGACACAGTTCATAATTATTGGACATTGTGAAGATGTAAAACAGCAAACATCGGAGTAATTATGGGTAAAATGAATCTTTATATAATAATTTCTTATCAATTAGAAATATATCTTCCTGTTGATTAAAAGATATCTGGACTTTTGACAGAAGTCTATGGGCAAAAGATAATTTTTATTTGAAACAACGTCCTCAGCATATTTGACCGTGTAGTTTGTAACACCACCATGTGTAATTTACACTTAACAAAAGATTAACAGATTAACAATATGAGTACTGAATGTTGGGAGGAAATAGACACTTCATGGAGTTTTAAAATCATACTGTGACTAAAATATAAATCTTGTAACAAAGCATCTCAAAAGAAAAGATTTGTCTATATACAGTTTGTATTTCTACTAGAAAAGTCTCGTTAAATTTATGAGTAGTTCCAGATCTATAGATTTTTTTTAGTTTTTAAAATTTAATATAATGCGCTTGTAAAGAAAATCGATGTTCAGATTTCAGAATAATAGGACTGTAATGGTTGATTTGTGAGTTTTTGCATTTTCATATTGACAAGATTTTTATTGCAATGTTTCAGAAAAAGTTTTGTCAATGTGGCGTTTTTGTGAATCATAGAACCAAACCAAAGAAGGGAAGGGTCGTTGGTATTTCCCCCTGTGGTCCATAGTAGAAACACCGATGATCTGGAAACGGGTATGTGTACCAGAAGGTAACAACCTATTTGAAAAGTTGCAATCAATCTTAAAGATATGTTATATTAATTTAACACCAATAGATATGCACACAATAAATTATTTTCTGTTCCATTATTAATAGGTTATTATTTATCGATTTTAGACTAGCTTCAATAATAAGAAATGTCTTGTGAAGTAAATTATTTGTTTCTTGTTAAATTATAAACATTCCACAGTAAATATTTCTCGGGGTAATATTAACCAAAATTATTCTTTTGGGATTGGTGGTATGTTTTGATTGCTTTCTTAATGATTCAAAATATCATTAAGATAACCAGTGAAATATTTACATGGAGTCTTTAGAATAAAATACCAAACCAGTCCCGGCTCCAGTGGGTGGCGGGGGTACAGGGGTGATAATTGCCCTCCCCTACACCCCCCTTCCTCCCTTAGAAAAATTGTTTGTTCCCAATATTGTACCCCACTTCAATACTTAAAAAATATCATATTTACACGTTTTAACCCAAAAATGCATCAGAATGCATCAAATCAATTCTATTTTTCAAAAATTTTCCTTTCAGACGCCCCTATGCGTCAATGCACTTCTCCGACTCGTCGAATTTTGAACCCTATCCTCGACAGTTGTCGCCCATTAAGTCAGTCCCTGCCCCCATGTGTACCCCTAGTTGAAGAAGCATTCATACTCGTGTTACTAGAGCAACATGTGTTTCAGTAGACCTGTGTTAAGAAGTTATATAAGGAAGACGAATATAAAAACACAGCAGTAAAATGTGAGAAAATATGTAAAACTGATTAAAGATGGTAAAAAGTAAATGACTGAAGTGTTGTCAGGTAGAATTAGGTCAACAATTCAAGTCGAGGATTACCAAACTAACAACAAGTTGAAACTAACTGTTTAATTTGGGCGATTTCAATGACTTAAAATGATCACATTTTGTTTACTGTCTTTTCACTTTCACTAAGTTTCTTTTAAATATCTAGGTCTCATTTTTTGTTTTGACTGAAAACATTCCCCATAGCAGTGGGTCTGAGATTCAGTCAAAGTTGGCATATATGCTTAGAACGACAGATTCTTAAGATCCGTAACATATCGAGTAAACAATTGCAATACATTTGTTAAATGATGCCAACTTTGACTGAATACACACCTATTTGAACAGGGGGTTATAATATCATCACTAAATCTTCTAAGGAGACAGGGCAGATCAGTCAGGTCTGCAATTGGTAGATATCTAGTATGCCAAACAGTGTTATTTTACTGCATCTCTATATTAGCTTATATATATATATATATATATATATATATATATGAAATATCTTTTCGGAATGAACAGTTAATTGTGTTGTGAAATATGTCCCAATTCAAGTGTCAATTATGTAAATATGTCGTTCTAATTAGCAACCATGTCATTCACAACATATGGTGAAACCTATCTATATTGTCTTCTATTTATCATAATTACAGTTTAAAATGGGGTTCATTAATTAATCAGTAAGTCATTAGAGTATAAATAGATTCATTACCCTCCAGACATCTGGTTTAAAAGGACAGGTATATTGAATAATTAACAGGCCATGAAATCGGCCCAAGGGGAATTTCAATCATTTTTATTTAAAGTAAATGAGCATTAAACCTTCAAGATAACAGAAACTGTGGAATAATGTTTTGCTCTTATTGAACACAAATCTGCGTTTATTTCATTACATGGGGCCATCATTTAGAATTTTTCATTAACGTTGGTAGCTTTTCTCATAACTACTTTTCTTCGTTTGGTTTGATTACTTGAGAAAAAATCCCATGGAAACAACTAACTTTAATTCTAAATAATAATTTTCCAATAAAGTCAGTATATCGACCAAAATGATCACTTTCCTTTATACATGCATACATATTCCATGAGGTAAATATATAGGTTAACTTAAGACTTTTTACAGCTACTAAATATTTAACACGAAAATGACATAATGACATTGTAATTGTTAATTATGTCATATTGCGTAATAAAAGCTAATAGTAATTATATAGCAATAAGGATATAACCAACTGCATGGCACTTCAGTTGATTGACAGGTAAATAACAAATTATATTCAAGATACACGCAACCTGCATCTTGTAGGGGGAAAGTAGCGAGAGTTTAGAAAAAATAACATAAATAATATAATAACATGTAATAATATAAATAAAATGATATCATGCCAATGTTGTTATTATGTCACATATCGTAATGAATGCCAGCAGCAACTATTGCAACCAGGAAATTATCTATTTTATTGATGAAATGTGATGCGATAAACATTAAGATGGTTGATAATTATGTAAAGATCACTTCAAGACAAATATCTTCTGATATAACAATAAGGTTTTGAGAAAGTGGATGGGGATGGATTAGAGGGCAGGGGCCTGATACTTAGCATCAGGGAGGGTCTGTCGAAATTAGAGAAATGAAATGAAATGGATGGAGTTTTACGTCCTACTCTTCTGCAGTCGAAATTAGAGAGAGGGAACAGGGACATGTATGCTAAGGTATCTATTTCAAGGTGATATTGATAAATAATACTCCATCGACTTGAGACCGATTTGATTACCATGGTCATTTATCCCATTTCAAACATTAATTCATGTGACGACTAATATAATAGTCTGATAGGAGTATGTAGAAAAGAGTGCTGGGGTGGGGGAAGCGGGGGCTGGGGATACAAAGTCTTTTCGACATGTAGTGGCACTAGGCACAAAATGATATTGCTATTATATGTGATAATGTGCTAAAAGGACATTAGATGGACTTCCACATTTCCCTCAATCAATATAGCCAGATGAAATAATGACGGCATCAAAACAGCATGCTACATTAACAGACGAGTAAGTACTATACTAATAATGGTCACTTCTGATTAAATCTATGAGATGGTTCTCTACCATCAAGTCGCATTCGTTATATTTTTGTATGTAGAATGCAATGTAACAGAGATAAGTGTCTGGTCTGTAAAGATATGAATCTACAGTTCCATTCCATGCTACAAGGTTAATCTGTACGATGAGTCATTCTTTACAAGTGACATCCAAACGGTTGCTAACTCGGACTGTTTGAAGAAACAGAAATAACAACACAGAAAACCATTTTAAAACAAAACATTCCTTGCATTCTTTATATATGAAATACAAATAGAGTAATTGTTTTATGTTTATAATAGAGGCTTTAAAACTGTCGGCAAAGATCAATAGTAGAACAGAACCCTATATCACGTCTATATCGCCAAATACTGAACTATATCGATTTAATAAACAGTACACTGAAAATATGTTGGTAAACATCTGCCTTGATTTAGTCGGAATTTAGGTCAGCAAATCTCATTCTCTTAGTAGATAAACTCAAATTTATTGTTAATGAGTACTCTTGGAGTAGATTGGTTTTCTAGTAAACATCTCGTGAATTACAGGCCATTCGTACCAAGATCTTAAAAATGTTAATGAATTAAAACTCACCATTTTGATACCAATCGGGGTCTATTTCCATCTCTCCCGTCTCGTATGTTACACACTCTTCCATTTTTAAATTGTTTACAATATATCATATCCCAAAAGCACGTGCAGTAAATATAATTCAATATTGTCTGGGTCTGTGAAGAGATCTAAGCGTGCAAACTGACAGTAGTCCCTGACGTGGCATAGACATTCGAGATTCACATAACAGTCACATTGCAGTCACGTGACCTGGCGAGAGCAGACGAATTATTTATTTATGAGGGCGTTCAGATATGTGATAATTATTCGGATCTTATTTAATAAGGCTTCTGGTCTGGCGTAATTTTAAAACATATGTCGTTCCTAAATAGCGGTCTTTTTGGTCATCAACAAGTTAAGATTAGGACAAAAACCTGCATTTTCATAGATTAAGTCTTTTGATTTACAGATTAGAAGTTGTTCTCTTCCAAAGTTCAAGTTCCTACCGCGTGCATAGTCGATTTTCTCGAAAGTTTGAAAA